CCAGCGTTTTGGTCACGCCGGAACCCCAGGAGCAAAAAGTTCCGACCGGATTTTGGCAAAAAAAGTTAGTTTTGATTTCGTTTAAAAAATATAATATGTCCGTTTTGACGAAATGGCTGTTCAAGCGTGAAAACGGCGAGCCACACGCGTCCCAGAAAAACACTCAATTTGGTACCACGTCAGCCGAACTGGTCCCAAGCGGTCCCAGATGGTCCCACGCGGTTCTAGGTGGTCCCATGCTGTCAAACACTTCGTCGAATGATTATTGAGTCGAAAATCGTTTCCGCCATACTTCTCAAAAAAAATAAGACCGGTGTCGAATTTCAAAACCGCATGCGTCGAGACTGCCGCAAATAACCGCCTGTGTCCCACGTCAGTCTCAACTGAATCCAGGCAGTCTCAAGTAGTCCAGTCACACTGCCATAAGTGTTGGGTAGTCCCAACTACAAAACATTTATCTCATATGCCGCATAAAAAAATAAACCCGCCTGTCACGCTCAGATTTCGTACCGTCGCATGCCGTCAACCGCCACCATGTCACGCTGTTGTTGCCGTATACACCAATGGTAGCAGACCTTCACCAAGAAAAGCAGACGCCGCGCCGCAATATAAAACCTTACCATGCCATAAAAGAAACCTCCACTGCCGCGCCGTACGTCCCACCGTCGTACCGCAATTTCATTGTCGTGCCGAACCCCCGTCAAGAAAAACGGCAGCGCTTTGCCATGCCGTACCACCGTAAAAAAAAATAAAAAAATGGCAGCGCTTTGCCATGCCATACCACCGCAAAAGACGACGGCGCTTTGTCGTGCCGTACCACCGTAAAAAAAATAGCAGCGCTTCGCCATGCCGTACCACCATAAAAAAAACGGCAGCGCTTCGCAGTGTCGTACCACCGTAAAAAGACGGCGGCGCTTTGCCGTGCTGTACCACCACAAAAAGACGGCGGCACTCCGCCGCTCTGTACTACCGTGCCGTGAAAATGACAACGTCACTCTTCAAAACAAAGTGCCGCCGACGTGCCATGAAAACGGCAGCGTCACCCCTCAAAATAAAGGTGTCGCGCCGATGCTGCGGTATTTCGGCAGCATAACCCACAAAAATGGGTTATGGTTGCCAAAAATATTGGCTGGCACACCTCCACCAGTTATTGTGCTCCCCGTCGTTCCTTGCCACGCTTCGCTGCCACTCCTCACCACGCTGCCGCAGAGTCCCCCTTGAGACCAGCCTGCCAAGAGGTGGAGCAGAGTGCTCCAACCAAGGCTATGACTGTCTTCTTCGTCGCACTCCTCCGCAGTCCTCCAGCTCTTCCGACAAGACTCCTGCCTCCTCTCTAGCACTCCAGCGATGAGGCAAGTGTGCTGTCGCACACTGGCAGCTGGAGGCAAGTGTGAGGCAGCTGGGGGACAACTGTCTCTTTTGTAGTGGCTGAGGAGGGCAACAACAGCCTCAGCTGCCCCCAGGCAAAATTCGTCACTTGCCTGGGGCTGTTGATCTGAGCCAGATCAACGGACTGAGGCTGTCTCACCTCAGCCACACACTTTGGGTGGCAGTTGTACTCAACTGCCCCCCTCTTTTTCTCCCTTTTCCCTGAACTCAGCCCTACACTGAGTGCAGGTTCAGCGGAAAAATGGTTGTTTAGCCGTGGCTTTTTCTTTCTCCTTCTACCTTCTTTTTCTCTTTTCTCCTCTGCCCTCCCTTGAAAACGGGGATGGGAGTTGTCAGATTGGGAGAGGTAGGGAAACAACTCGTGAAAATTCACGAGTTCAAATCCCAACAAGCTCAGAGCGGGGTGCAAAAACAACCCCGACTTTGATGATTTTTAGAAAACTATTCGCTTAATAAAAAAATCTAAAAAACTTCGTGCACATGGCCTAGGTGCCTGATTACCTCTTGAGAAAAATTCAAGGCCAAAACAATTGTTTTACACCACCAAAAAAATACTGGCGCAAAACTGAAAAATACAGATCTTCAAAAAAGTATGATCCCGTTTTCTCGGTTTTTTTTTTTTTTTTTTTTTTTTTTTTTTTTTTTTTTTTTTTTTTTTTTTTTTTTTTTTTTTTTTTTCTTCTTCCCCCCCTTGACAACAGGGAGGCTGCTGGCAGGTCGGGAGGAACAGGTCCTCCTCTCTCCCATCCTCCCATTCCTCTCTCTTTCTCTCTCTCTCTCTCTCTCTCTCTCTCTCTCTCTCTCTCTAACTCCAAACTTCTTCCTGCTTTCCGCGTGTGCACTGCGGGCTGCGAGATCTCAAGACCTCGCGGCCACAGTCATCTGTCTAAAACGAAGTGGGAACTTTTGTACTCCCACACAGCCTGAAAAGACTGTTGTTTTGTTTGTTCCGTTTTTTTGGCCCTACATGCCCATGTAATGGCATACTCACTCTAAAACTTACCTCGATGCACCTGTGTCGGGATCACGACCATGATCAGGCCGTTTTCTCCATGCTGAGCCTGGAAAGACAGCGGTCACGATGCATCGTGTGGGAAGAGGGACAAACGAAAAAAAAGAAATATTTACCTCATTGGCCCAACCGTTGGCACAACAACAAACTGCGGAATGCAGACCCAAGTTCAAATCCAGCCGCAAAGAGGTGGGGCAGACCAATTCCTACGACCGGAAGCCTCGCCCCACTCCCCTACCTATGTGCAAAACCAGAGTGAATCTCTTGCTAGAACATGGAAAGATACAGCGTCGTGATTTTTGTTTTTTGTGCATGTGGTGAGTAGTGGAGTGGTGTTGCCCCCCCTTTCACTCGTGGTGCCCGTTTTCTCTCCGCCACGTCGAAAGTGGGGGGATCTAAAAACAATAAAAAAAACAAAAAAAACAACTTGCCAAAAAAAAACAAACCACTTAACGTCCAAAAAACGGGCGTCCGTTTTACTTCCTCAGGGACTGCAAGTCTCTATCCGCTCTACGCGCGCCAGGTGGCACCTTTTTTTTTTTTTTTTTTTTTTTTTTTAGTAAGAAAGCCGTTGGCATAAGCCAACAGCCACGGTTCCCCCCCCCCCCACGCCTTGCAGACCCGAGTTCGATTCTCATTGGAAGATCAAAAAAATTTGGCCATTTTTCGATTTATGGCATTTTATGCTCGTCATCCTTGCGCAGGGGCCATGTTCAATCCGGCGCGGCTGTTTCTGGCTGTGTGATCCTGTTGATCGCACGGCCAAGGTTGGCCGCGCCCAAACTGCCCCATCCCGATGGCCGGCTTCAAAAGGAGCCAGCCCAGATCGGGCGCATTCTGGATTCGATCCCTATGTCTGCAGTGTGGCGGTCCCATGCGTTCACCTACTGGGCTAGCTCCTATCACGGGAGTAGAAGCAGCAACCCCTTTATTTGAAGGGCGATGCCCAGTAGGCCGACCCTCCAGCATATGGCCCAATAGGCATTTCCCGCTCCAGCCCTTTGCTTGGCTGGATTTGTCGGCCTTGGCCGGACATTGAATTGACCGCTTGTGCCAGACTCGGCAATGTCCAACCTAGCTATGTGGACCACCTGCCCCTAAACCGTCGATGCGGTTACAGACCCCGAACAAAGTCAAACCCCACGTCCCAAAATAAAAAAAAATAGGCTTCCTATTCCTCCCATGTCGCGGCTCCATACCCGGCGCGGTCGTTCCTTTTAGCCTAGTGAGGCTCTGAATCGCGCGGCTTAGCAGCCGCACGACGTCATTTTAAGTAGAATAGAAGTTAGGCTTAGTATTCCAACGCCTATATGCCCCTGCGTCCTTGCCAAACGCGGTTGGTGACCGATCGCACCGCCGCTATAGCATGTCGCAGACGTTTGGACTTAAGCAAAAATTTCAGTCTCTCAGTCTTAGGTTTGGTCTGAATGCCAATCTCATCAAGTCAGATCATCCAATTGAAATCTTATCATTAGTCGGACAGTTGCCTGACATTGAAAATCCCGGGCAGATACCCTTGTCAGGGTTTCTGCCCCGACATTGCAACCCTAAGGTAGCCAAAGCAATGAGAACAAGAGCACACATGTGAGTGTGAGAGAGAGAGAGAGAGAGAGAGAGAGAGAGAGAGAGAGAGTTTTGTTCCATTTGTTGAAATGAGTGTGAGAGAGGGACAAAGAGTGAGAGAGAGAAAGAAAGAGAGATAGAGAGAGAGGGAGGAGGGGGGTGCTACCAGAGAGAGAGAGAGAGAGAGAGAGAGAGAGAGAGAGAGAGAGAGAGAGAGAGAGAGAGGCTGAATGACAGAATTGAAATATGGGTCAAATTGCGACCGCGATCTATTTCACAGCTGGAATGATTTTTTTAAATTCATTTTGTATTTTTTCTGAAAAGATCACAACCAAATATACGAGTACTCCAATTTTCAGGTTTTTTGACGCATTCTTCTGAGCACGAAAAACTCCCTGAATTTGGAGTACTTTTCAGTTGGCCCACTGATGGCTGAGTGGCAAAAATGGAAAATGTGTCGAATCGGCGCGGCTATTATTTCGCGGTCTAAATGATTGTTTGAAAATGTTCTGCTATTTTTCTTGGAAAGAACACAACCTCGTCTATGGATTCTCAAAATTTCAGATTTTTCTGCAGATTCCTCGGAGCACTGAGAATTGTCAAAGTTACCCCTTGCAAAATGCCTGTTTCGTTGCGCCTGACGTCCCTGTTTTGAGAAGACGGGCCTCAACGCCTGGGCCTGAGGGACCTTTGTCCTCACTTCTTTTTTGGGTCCGCTTCCACCCCAGGACCGGTCCTTCCTTTTCCCAGAAGTTCGGGTTCTACCAGAGCTAGCTGTAGGTAGTCCACAATTTGGCCAAGGACCAGACCCCCAAATTCTTTTGCCCTCTAATAACCCACTTCGTCCTAGTCGCCCGCAGCCAAAAATGTGACACCTTGACACAAACGCCGAAGTCCACTATACAACATTTCTCTCCCTAAGAACCCACTTCGTCTTAGTCGCCCGCAGCTAAAATTGCGACACCTTGACACAGAGGCCGAAGCCCACTATACAGCCTTTTGCCCCCTGAGAACGCACTTCGTCCTAGTCCCCCCCAACCAAAAATGCGACACCTTGACACAGACGCCGAAGCCCACTATACAGCCTTTTGCCCCGTAAAAAACCACTTCGTCCTAGTCGCCCACAGCCAGAAATGCGACACCTTGACATAGACGCCGAAGCCCACTATACAGCCTTAGCTCAGGGGTGCGAACTGGAACATGTGCACTGGACCCGTCAATATACAACAGATGAGCTCTCAGAGGACGTCGCTGCACTACTGTCCACGTGCACAAAAGACAAATTTTGGCGGTGTCTTGTTCTAGCGGCAGATTCATTCTCATTGTCTACCGTGTGGGCGCGGGGAACGCAGCCCTAAGGTAGCCAAATTAATGAGGTTAAGAGCTAACACAAGAGAGAGAGAGAGAGAGAGAGAGAGAGAGAGAGAGAGAGAGAGAGAGAGAGAGAGAG